TTTCAGGAATGACTAAGTTCCTCAAACGTCATGAAGCTCAGAGAATATCCCAATCAAGCAAATCCCTTTCGAGAGGAAGCTGTGAAATGGAGTAAAAACCTTTTGGAGGGCTTTGATTTGCATTTCCCTTTCTCTTTTTCCCAGTGCCAACTTTAGTAATTCATCATTTTTCAGGATAATCTACAGTGACAAACTGTTGACAATGACCTTGATAGACTTAAAGGCACTATTGCCAAGCTACTAGGAGAGTGAAATATTGTCCCCTAAATCTAACTTAGAGTACCTAGTTTAGACTTAATTTTGTTTAGTTCAAACTAGCTTAGTGGACTCCTTATATTTTTTAAATAGTGTAGTCCTTTAACTAATAATGTATAACGACGAGTTAGTCGCTTTGTAAAAGTTTGTAAAATATTTAGGTATTTCTCAATATCTTAATAAAGACATGTCAATGTGACATGATTGCGGGTTAAAAAAAAAAAAAAAAAAATTACTTACCTAATATTGTATAATTAAAGATTCAAAAGTATCCACAATTTATTGGTAGGCCACTGTAATATAAGAATAAGCTAACTTTTTTAAAAAAATATAAACATATTGTAATACTAGTTTTATATCATTGCAAGAAGGATATAAGGAATATAAATAAATGGTTTATATTAAGAAATTCAACAATATATAAAATAGAATAAAGGTGATATGACTTTAATATAGCATAAAAACATTTTATCAGTGAGATGGGTTGAACTTCTTTGTTTACCTTACTTTAATTCAATTTATATACTGTCTATCTTTTTTTAGGCATACACTAGTTACAAGGTGAAAAATTTCTTATCAAAGTTCTATTGATGCTTTATTTGATAAATAGGATTGGGTGTACAAGTTAGAATAGATTTTCTTCTTCTGTCACTTCAATAATATCAATAAATTATGGCTTGGCCATCGTTAAAAAAAAAAAAGTTCAGTCAATAGAAAAGATTGATTTTTTAGATCCGGTTTTGTTTATTTCTCTGACAATCGGGTCAATTGGTCACAGGGTGAGATTGATCCGGATCTGTTCATTGTCAAATTACCAAATTACAAATTAGTTCTCAATGTGTGGCTAAACTGCAATAAATAATCGAACGTAAACCACATATTTGAAGCATGTCAAGCACTAGTAATGTACTCTTTTTAACTGGTGGTATGGTTGGTGGCCTGGGACTGCTCTACGGCATATATGCGTTAAGTCAACGGCTTGGACAAGCTTCTACGTCGAACAAGGGCAAAACTTCCACTAAAAAAACTAATTCTGGTGCCGAATTTGAGGACGAGACTCGTTTTCACGTTAAAAATAAAGAAAGTCAAAACCTGCTTAATTTGTTGTATTCGATTGCAGAAGATCAGGCTCGTAAAGGTATGCAAGAATGCGCAGAACACTCGTGCTGCAATATCTAACTTCATTGTAATTTGCTTTTTTTAGAAGGATACATACATCGTAAGTTCTTCGCTTGTCGCCATTATTTATAGCTACCAAAAGTAATAATCTAATCGAATCCCATTTCCAGGTGGAATCACATGCAACAACTGCACCACAGTACGTTCAAATATAGACACTTTTCGAGCATTTCATGAGCCGTCGATGATGATTGGCACATTGAAGGAAAACTAAACTTTCAAATGTTAACAGTCACCAATCAGGGGAATTCGCTACAAATGTGCAAACTGTGTTGATTACGACCTTTGTGAACTTTGCGAAGGACAAGAAATACATAATAAAACTCATACATTCATTAAGATAAGAATTCCCATCCCACCTTTAGCCAACCCACGATCTGTGCTTCTAAATGTCTTCTATCCAGGTAAGGTGTCGATTCCCTGTTAACAGAGATTGTCATTATACCTTTTGCGTGCTAACATATTTAGCATTTAGGCAGATATACCAATTTTGGTGAATTGGCAAGAGATAAATTATATGATTTACAGAAAAGGACGCATTGTACGTGTTGCATTCTTTGCAATTTTACTTTTCGGAATTTCTTATGTGCTTCTCGGGTGTTATATTTATAGTTGACCAAGTTGAGCTGGAGGCACTTTACGACCAGTTTAGGTCCCTGGCAACTGTTACAGAGGGAGAGGGTGGAATCGACAAGGGCACATTCGAACAATGTTTGGGACCGTTGAGCGTCGAACGGAATTTAGTTACTGAAAGAATTTTTCAATTTTTCGATCAGGATGGTGACGACATTATAAATTTCAACGAATTAGTTGTCGGTTTGTCAATTCTCTGCAAGGGGAATCTTGAGGAGAAAATCGAGTGTAATTATACCTAATCTGTGTGTTGGTTGACATTAAATGAGAAGTTGCAAAATGGATCCTGATTTGAACAACACATCTACTTTACAGATGTTTTCAGAGGTTATGATCTTAATGGCGATGGTTTTATAAGCCGTGATGAATTGCAGCAAATTTTCAAAGCTTACTTTCACATATCGACGGAATTGGTTCGAGATGTCGTGAAAGCGATGGAAGAGGAAATGTTGGAAAACTATGACTCTAAACCTAGTCAATCAGTGGCGACAGCTTTTCATGCAGCGATTCCCTCCGAAAATTATATTCAATACACCAACCAGAAGTCACAAACAGAGGAGGACAATGATACGATAACGTGGCAAGAAAAAACACCGGTGGTGGAGTGCCTAGGCCAAGATGCCATAGAAGAGATTGTTGAAAAGATATTCACGTCAATTGATACGAATTCAAGAGGTTATATTTCTTATGATGAATTTAAGGAATATGTTCAAAGGGATAAATCAGTTGTCGCTTGGTTTGACGTCTTTGGAAGGTAAAAATATCCAGTCATCTTCTGCATATGGTCGATTCAACTCTTTTTTTTTTTTTGTTTCGTTGATCTAATCAAATATTCACGTCTTTTATCAGCGTCTTTTGATTGTCATCGTGGGAGGCGATTGATTGATCCCCGATGGAAGAGAGAGAGAGAAAAAAAAAAAGTTTTTTACCGTCTTGCTTGAATGATCTGAAAAAATTAAAATCTTAATCTTGTTTAAATTTACATTTAACAATCGGGTTGATCGATCCCACGCGATATGGGTTCATTATTTGGGCGAAGTATAGAAGCAGATTATCAGGGTTGTTTAATTAAGTTCAGGCGATGTTGAAGTTGTATTATTATTACAGTGGTGTTCTAATTTTCGTTTGCAACAGTGTCCGAACTGTTCTCACTGGTAGAAGTTTCGGGAGCTTCGCTAAGTTCGCTATCAGACGAAATCTCATTTTCAGCGTTATATTTATGACCATTGAGACGACCATTTGGTGCATTCCCAACTATTGAACTTCCACCATTATCGCTTTGAATCTGATCCTCTATACTTTCTTCACAATTATTTTCTGAATAGTCTTCCCTATCACTATCTTCTTCCCCTCCGCTTTCATTATCTGTCAACATTGCGTCTTGAAGTTCGCTCCTCGTTCTCATAGCGTCATCATAAAGTTTCAAAGCATTTTCTAGCGTGCATGTTTGCGGTATTACATCTACAGAATTTCATTAGTCATGATGAATATTGTGATTTGCACGTGAACGGGATAGGAAAGGTGTAAAGAAAATAACCCGACACCTTTTAAAAATTCGAGGTTGTCTGTCCTCCCCACCGCGTCGACTATTTTCAGTAGCGTGATTACAAGTTTAACATTTGAGGTTTCGAAGTCAAAAGCAACTAATTTTATTGGAAAAATTCTATTAACCAACCTAGATCTTGATAGCCCAGATTCTTTCGTCCTTCATTCTTAGCCTGTTCGAGACCTTTTTTCACGAGGTATTCTATAAACAGTTCCTACCGCAATTCCACGTTACGTGTACTTTTTTAGCTTCCATGAAACATTAGAGTATGACTGATAGTTTTCAGAAAATAATATCTACCGCTGTCGCAGTGATCAAGAAGGACACGTCAGCACCACATGTAGCATCGTGTTCCTTAAGAATACGCCTGACGCGAGAAACGGGTAACATGGTGCTCCCATTTGATGTGCTAGTGGGATTTGAGGTAGAACTGGGGGTACTAGTCGATCCATTCTCGATTGCCATCTTGTGTTTTGGGTACGTGCGTATTTTGGAAAACCAAAATATAAAAACGGGCGGAAATGGATCACATGATTAAAACTCGTGACGTCATGTTCCCGTGCCGCATTAGGATGTCAGCTGCAAAAGAATTTGAAATTTCAATTATATTAGGGAATTCAAAAAAAACATTGTGAACCAACGCTATGACGAATGATTAAAGTTCTTTGTAAGATGAAGTCGGGCCCGGAACAAACAGTTATTACGAAACTTACGCCCAACCCTGTGGGCTAAATATTTTGGACATTCGTTGCACCATTTGATTTCGTGCCTCGTCTCATATAATTCACAAGCGTGAAAGAACTTACTTGGTTCCGAAAGGCTCAAATTTGATTTGTTGGGGACCATGCCGTTACTGCAATCTTATAAGCACAATGGAAAGAAGTGAGCGTGCACATACATTGATAGTTATTGCTTGAATGGTGAGGATAGATCTATAGATTTTAAGTAGTACTAATAAAAATATTCGAAAATCGAATTTTCCGGGGGCGTTTACCATGTGAACAAATGAAATCGATGCTTCTATAATTAAATTAAATTATGCACGCAAGTATAAGCAAATAGATTTTAAATAGAATTTCCGGAAAACCTCTTGACCCCCACTGTAAAGTTTTGGTGATTTTTCATGGTGCAGAATGTGTTACAGTTCAAAAAAATGCTATTACTATATTCGAGATTTCCTAATATCATAAAATTTGCATTTCTACGAGACAATAAATAAAATTATTATAAAGTCAGGTAGGTATAAAGGTCTTCTCTTTCGATCTACAAATCCACACTTGTGCTTTCGATCCGACGTTCAATCCCAAAAGGTAGTTATTTATAGTTATTATCAGTTCGGATTTAAAATATTTTTCGCGACGTGTACTGTATATGCGAAACGAATTTCAAATCAAATGTAAGAAGATAATTGCTGTACTTTCGAATGCACCGTATTCCTCTTGAAAATTGATTAAATAAAATTTTTACGGATGTAGCGAATCCCCTGGATATACGTAATGGTTAGTGGTCACAGGTCATTTTGAGAGTACGCAAGACACGAGGAATCAGTTAATTCATAAAGCAACACGATGAGTTAGGAATACACGGAACATGATTTATTAACGTTTAGTTATTGCTTATGCTTACATTTGTAAATTTTCCATATAATATCAATCATTGCATTGAAATATTGGTTGTATTGAATATGCTGTATCTTACATGTTTGCTGTACATATACAAGAAATACACATTGTATTAACGTAGAAGTTTATACAAATTTTTAAATCTTTGATCTATCTGCTTAACCTGATTATAATGACAATTACATAGGAAAACATTAAAGAAAAAATGACGGTGTTAAATAAACATCTCTTTGCCCAATAACGATTATCCAAGCCACTAGAGAACAAGTAACAAGAACCTGCAATCCAAAGTGGCCAAAATATATAACCATAGATATATAAACTTTTGGGTTTTGACCACCGTTCTTGCGGTTGAAGCGGTTCGAAGATCCAGAATGGATCGATAATTGAATTTGTGACGGAGTAGGATGGAGGTAAGTCTTTCATAATGGATGAGTAGGGAGGAAGACACTCTGTGGTGGGGATGTTAGGATCGGTAGGAGAATAAGCGTGTGAATCGGAGATGTGAATTGTGACAACTGGCTGAATAGCAATGGCAGGTGAACCAAAGTATGGTGGCGGTGATGATGCATTAGCGGAATCGAAGGTGTCGCTACCAATTTCATGGGACTCCATAATAAAAATGATTTAAGTATTTGAGAGGACACAGCTTCGGTTCCTGCCAAAGGAGTGATAACAAAGGCGAATGTGATGTAGATAATAGAGATGTGTTAATTTTCGCGAGATAGTTGCAGAAAGATGTAATTTGGCAAAAGACAGAAAATCGTATACCTATTTATATGAATTTAAAAATGATTAACACCACTTTCTTCAACACAATGGACCATAGCTAAATGATGAATGCATCAGTTACCATCGTGGGAGGCCGGGGACGTTACAATTACTAAGAAAAAACAACCAACCAATAAAAAATGACACCATCTATATTGCATTGCGAATAACAATAATGTCGCAGATTACATGAAACAAATAGCGTAGGTTAGAAAAGTCAGCATAAATCTCGACAGTGGACTCGTTTCCTTATACACCCAAATCCGCGCATTTCTCATTTTCTACTCTCTTTGTCGTTATCACGCTAACGCTATCAGAAACACGTACAATTCTAATAAATTCCGATGTGCATGCATGCATACAAGGAATCCCTTGTCTCAATTATTCACGTGACAAAATTGTAATTAAATTCCAGAAAGCTTATTTTCTGAGCAGATCCCGAGATAAAGAAAAGCTTCTAAGCTTCTAACGGTAATGCAGACGTTGTGTATAATTCGTCTGGTCATATTACACGAGTTCCATGGTGACGGTATTACAATTTTATTTGTCGCACAAATTAAAAAACGAATTAATTCCACCTCGGTCATGGTCATTAAGTGAATTTTCGGATACATTGTGATAAAATAATTGAGTACACACTTTGGAGGTTCTTGTCATACTGCCATTGCAGCCTTGATTAAAATTCTAAAGTTATACATTGTACACCGTACACGGTACTCAATTGTTGCGGATAGATTTTTCCGTTATTACGAAAAAATGTTATCAATTTCTTCATAGTACTCGACAATCTATCTATGCTGTATGAACATTGATCAATGATTTATAAGATGATTTCGATTCAACATTTCCATCTATCAAACATTTCTAAGTGAAAGGGTGTTTGCGTAATAAATAATACGTACTGTATATTCGATTGCCAATCATGTAATTCTTCAATATACATTTGAATAAATGTTATGATTCTTTTTTTTTTTTTTTTTTTACACAGGCTTAATAAAATTTATGTTACATAAAAGTTAATAAAGAGTGATAGATTCAAAGGTCGCCTTAAATATCTCGCCATTCCTAATAAAAGAAAGGATCTAGAAAAAAAATAATTACAATTAAAATTTTGTGTAAATAAAAGAGAGAAACAAAAAACAACAAAACAAATAAAATCAAATACATTTGTTATCTACAATAATTACTTTATAATTTATACAATAGAAAAAAGACTTTAAGGAATTTATTTACTATGAATAAATAAAATTATACTTTATATTTAATCATAAAAATAGTGATATTGATTTAAATTTGATATTAGATCCATTATATAATTATTTGTTATGTTCTTTATATTTTTATCTAAAGATCTTTTTAATATATAAAAAGTTCAATCAATCATTATTTTTATCAATTTGAGATTTTATATCTAAATAATATAAATTAATTTTTTTTTTTGAGTACTCACAGCTAGACTAGATTGTAGTTTATTAATTAATTAAAAACACAAAACATTTTCATTCAAGCAACATGATATACAGTATATTATAACTTAACATTTCTATCAAATTTAATAAACTCATTATAAACAATAATGATCTTTAAATTTGACCTTGAAAATAATATTTTGTTTCATGATAATTTTAAAATAAATATTCTTCTAGTTTATCACTTCATTATCAATAGGTTATTACTATTATACTATATGTCCTATTAAGTTACTGAAATATAAAAGGATATATTAAAAAAAAAAAAATTCTTTAACTTTCTTTAAAGATTTGCTTTTTAAGACTTTTTCTTAATAAAAAATACCTAATTGAAATATCTTTTTTTCTTCTGATTATTTAAGAAACTTATTTATTCTTGATTTTGATTTTTTTTTCATGTATCATTTAAAAAATTTTATTATCTAGTAATATGTTTGATTTTAATTTTCTTGAGGCAATAATTTTTTATTTACCTATAATAGATAGGACTTATAATGAACTTTAAATTTTTATATGGTCCAATAAGAACCGAACCATGTTATTTCAATATAATATCTTTCCAATCATATTTGAATAAAAAAATTTTATTAACAAACATTTTCTATTATCCAAAAAATCAAATTTCCTAACAATTTTTTGTCTTGTAAAAGTAAAAAAATCCCAAGAGTAATAAATATTCTTATTGATCATACTATTTTTTATTAATTTTTAAAAAAAATCTATTCCCAATCATAATTAAAGAATTAAAAATTAGTATAAACTAAAAACTGTTCAGTCTTATTTCTTAATTAGAATAAGAAAAAAATCTTAATTTTAAACTTTGCTTAACTAGAATAATAAGAGAAAAAAATCTTAACTTAAATAAATAATAACTTTGTCACCATCTGAAAACTTATTATTATATCTTATTAATCTTATAGAAATTGATCTATAAATTAATTTAATGGAAAGAGTGAAACAAGAACAAGATACCAATCAACTCTTCCTATTACCAATGATGTCATTAGAATACATAAGATAATCAATAAGTATTTATTTACATTTAACTATTAATATATTTCATATTATAATTACATTTTGCAATAAATTGTATTAATCAAAATTCAAAATTAAACTGAAGATAAAATTTTTCAGAAAACTAAAAAATTTAAATGACTATAAGAAAAAAAATACAATTAACAAATATCATGAAAATATTGTTTAATATTTGATACCTTCTACTATAAAAAATTTTTATAAACATATTTCAATATAAAAGATTTTAAGTACTATACTATTAGTTTTTTTTTCATATAAAACTTTTTTGAAATACAGTAAATAAAAAAAATATTTTTTGACTTTTTTAAATCACTAAGAATTAAAATTTTACCTAAAAATAAATATAAATAAAAAGAAAATATGAAAATATTTCTTGAAGTAAAACTTCAAGTTGATTTAAAGATAGTATTAAGACTTTATTAACAAAGCAAATAAAAAATTTCTATTATCTTTTTTATATATAAATAGTAAATTAGTAAAAAGAGTTTATTTAAATAAAGACAAAAAGAAATAAAATATATGAAGTTTTCTATCAAAACACTTGAAAATTCATGAAAAGAGCCCAGCAGTTAAATATTTCAAGTCCAAAATAATTTTAGAAAAAACAATAAAAAAAACAATCCAAAATGATTACAAACTCAATCTAAACAGTAGAATAAGTCAAGTAGACATAGAGAATTGAGAAGAATAGATTATTAGAAATAATATAAAAGAAGGAGTATATTAAGACCATCTAATTAAAATACTCCAACATAATCAATAGTCCAAAGAAATATTAATTTTTTATTCTGATGGATCTCTTATAGATCATGGATATGAAAAAATAAAGATGAAAGCAGTATAGATACAAGTAAAAAGAGAGAATAGAGAATGTAAATTTTAAATAGGAGTAGTCAACTGGTCATTATTTATTAGAGCAGAACTAGTAACAATAGTCACAATATTATTAGTTATTTCAATAAACAATAATATCAAAATTTTTATAAACAATCAAGCCTATATTATCAAGTAAAAAATAATAGAGAAAGAGGATTCCAAAGAACTTACAAAAGATGATTGAAAGAAAAGAACTGGTTCCTATAGGCAAGAATATTGAATATATTTAAAAAAAAAGAATTGAATCTGAAATTTATCAATGTTAAAACACACTCTAATAATCCATATAATAAAAAACAGATATTCTAGCAAAGAAAGTCTTAATGCTTCTTGTAATCAAATAAAAAAAATCTTATTTTATTCAAAATCATTACTGAAATCAAATGACATAAAATAACTTTAGATAATTTCATAAGACATTTTATTAAAAACATGAATAGCAAAGTTATATCTCATCAATAAATAAAACAAAACAGGATTTTAACAAATGGAATTAACAGATTCAAAATCAATATAACTATATATAGGATTTGATATGAGAAAGAATAAAGAATAGATATACTCCTTTAAAAATTCTTAAGAAAGAAGTTTTCTTATTAAATTAATCAATAAAGAGTTATCAATACTCCTTAAACTGACTATAAGAAGACCAGATTTATATAAACAAGTAGAATGTATAGCATGCAAATAGCAAGTAAAAACAATAGAGTACCTATTAAAATGTCTAATATATAAAGCTAAATAGCAGGAAATTTGAAACAAAGGAATTGAAAGTATTCTAAAAGACTTTCAAAAACTTTTGTATAAGAGAAGAAAAGAGATAAAAGAAAAAAAAACAAGGCTTCTAGTTGAAAACAAAGTAAAATTAGGAGAATTGGACAAATATATAATCAGACTTATAGAAGAGACTGCAGAAATAAATCAAAACATACTAAACTTCTACATATGACTAATACAAAGTAATCAGATATTGAAAACATTAAACTTAAAATATTATCAGAAAAGAATAGATAAAGAAGTCTAAAAATAAATAATGAAAATACAAAAAAGATTTGCAATTAATTTCAAAAAAAGATTTGGAATAAAAGATGTTCAAGAATAATAAAGTGAAAACAAGCATAAGGGATCTATAGAGAAGACAAAATAAGAAGATTAATCAGTTTTTTAAATTAGAACAATAAGACCACAATTATGAAAAGGTCTTTACAGAAAGAAGAAAAACTTGAATATAAAAGTCTGAAATAAATCTTTCTAGAAGGAATAAAGTATAAACTAAGATAGTTATGGTTTTAACTTCTGTCAAAACTCACAAGAAGAATCTGTAATAGTAATTTGTAAGCAATAAAATTAGTAGTTGGAAGGGTTTTTACTTGAACTACTAATAAAACAATAAATTACTTTCAAAGTTATACTTAAAGTGATAATAACTAAAATAAGTGGACTAATTGAAGATTTAGTTTA